CCCGGACGTTGGAGCTGCTCCTGGTGCTGCGGACCCGACTGGTGGCGCTGCTGCTGGTACAGAGGACTCGGACGTTGGAGCTGCTGCTGGAGCTGAGGACCCGAGCGGTGGCGCTGCTGCTGCTGCTGAGGACTCGGGCGTTGGAGCTGCTACTGGTGCTGAGGACCCGGGCGTTGGAGCTGCTACTGGTGCTGCGGACCCGACTGGTGGCGCTGCTGCTGGTGCTGAGGACCCGACCGGTGACGCTGCTGCTGGTGCTGCGGACCAGGGCGTTGGAGCTACTGCTGGTACTGAGGACTCGGGTGTTCGAGCTACTGCTGGTGCTGAGGACTTGGGCGCTGGGGCTGCCGCTGGTGTCCCTGCTGCTTCTGGAGACGCTGCGCGGCCGCGACCGTACTTCGTCCCGCTCCTTCAGCAGGTTCTTGGTCAGGCTCCTCCTCCTGGTCCTCCTCCCTCCGTCGAGGGTCCTCTACCTGTCCAGCCGCAGTCACAGTTACCGCCCGCCTCGCCTCTCCCTGCTCCCTCTCCTTACGCTGGTCCCACAGGAGGTCTTACAGAGCGTCGTGAGCCTGAGTCTCGTCTTGCGTCGCCTGTTCGTACCGCTCGCACTGGTCGTCGTGTCCCACGTGAGCGTCCTCCTCCTGTCCCTGGCACTCACTACATGACTCTGCGTCCCTCCACTGCTCCGCAGCGTGTCCCGCTGCCGTCTCCTCCTGCGTCCTCCCTACCTACTCTTCCTGACCCGGAGTCTGACGCCCGTCGTGCTGCCAGTCCCACTGTTACGCGTCTCCTTGCTACCGTTGTCACTGACCCTTCTTTTGAGTCCGCCGCTGCGTCTGCTCTGGTCGCTGAGTTAGTTGACTTTGCTGCTTGCTGTCGCCTAGACTACGCTGCTAGCCTAGTGGCTGAGTCTGAGTCTGCCTGTCCTCCGTCCGTCGGGGGTGCGTGTGCTCTTGGCACGGACGTCCTTGAGGACAGACAGGAGGAGTTCCATTGCTTTGCTGCTGCTTTGCCCCATCTCGTGTCCATGCTAGTTGCCCCTGAGGGAGACCCGGATGCACCAGACATCCCGACCCCGCGCACTTACGCTGAGGCGATGGCGGGTCCCTACTCCTCTCAGTGGCAGACAGCCATGGACGCAGAGATGGCTTCCTGGAAGTCCACACGCACCTACGTCGACGACGTCCCCCCTCCTGGGGCGAACATCGTCAGTGGCATGTGGATTTTCAGGGTGAAGCGGCCGCCGGGTTCTCCGCCTGTCTTCAAGGCGCGCTACGTGGCTCGAGGCTTCAGTCAGCGAGAGGGAGTAGACTTCTTCCAGACCTTCTCCTCCACCCCGAAGATGACCACTCTTCGGGTGCTGCTACACATAGCCGCTCAGCGCGACTACGAGCTTCACTCACTTGACTTCAGCACTGCTTTCTTGCAGGGCAGCCTGCACGAGGAGATCTGGCTGCGCCGCCCTCCTGGCTTCACTGGGCCGGTTCCTCCTGGCACCCAGTGGAGGCTTCAGCGGCCGGTCTACGGTCTCCGCCAGGCACCACGTGAGTGGCACGACACACTGAGGACGACACTTGCGACTCTTGGGTTCGCACCTTCTACAGCTGACCCGTCGCTGTTCTTGCGCACCGACACTTCGCTGCCGCCGTTCTACATCCTCGTGTACGTCGACGACTTGGTCTTTGCCACTGCTGACACTGCAGGACTCGCCTACGTGAAGTCGGAGCTGCAGAGGAGACACACGTGTACAGACCTGGGTGAACTGACAAGCTATCTTGGCTTGCGGATCACCCGGGACAGAGCACGGCGCACCATCACCCTGACTCAGTCGCACATGGTGCAGCAGGTTCTCCAGCGCTTCCGCTTCACGTACTCCTCGCCTCAGTCCACTCCTATGGCTACCGGTCACTTGCTCTCAGCTCTGCCTTCGGATGAGTCCGTAGAGTCGAGTGGCCCGTACCCAGAGCTTGTGGGCTGCCTCATGTACCTGATGACCTGCACTCGACCTGACCTTGCATACCCTCTTAGCATCCTTGCACGCTATGTCGCTCCTGGCCGTCACAGGAAGGAGCACATGGATGCCGCTAAGAGGGTGTTGCGCTACTTGTGCAGTACGTCGGGCATGGGGCTTGTGCTTGGAGGGCGAGACCGAGTTGTTCTCACAGGGCACTCAGACGCTTCTTGGGCAGACGACCAGGCCACTCAGCGGTCGTCTCAGGGTTACTCCTTCAGCCTTGGCTCTGGCTCAGTTTCTTGGCGCTCTACACGCTCTTCTTCTGTTCTCAGCTCCAGTTGCGAGGCTGAGATCTACGCCACAGCCATGGCTGCCCAGGAGCTACGCTGGCTGACCTACCTGCTGACCGACCTTGGGGAGCGGCCTCGTTCTCCTCCAGTGCTGTACGTCGACAACCAGGCAGCCATTGCCCTGTGTGAGGAGCACAGACTGGAGCACAGAACGAAGCACATCGCTCTGCGGTACTTCCTTGCTCGAGAGCTGCAGCAGCGAGGTCAGCTTCGTCTGCGTTACGTGGCCACCGAGGCCAACCTTGCTGATGTGTTCACCAAGGCACTTCCGCCTGTTGACCATCAGCGCTTTTGTACTCTTCTGGGCCTTGTGCCTACTGGACCTCACTTGCTCACTTCTTGACCTTGCTTATACTGTGATCATTATATATATATGCCTGCATGTCTACTCTTGCTAGGTTGTGATCATTGTATATCATGATCTGTTATAAACTTGCATGTGAACTGGGCTTGTGACCGCTAGTTTGTGCTCGGAATTTGTGTGGAACCCTTGAGGTCCACCCTGAGCTTGTTGTTGTCTTGCTTTGCCTTGACTGGTCTTGTGACCCCTAGGTCTTCCCCACTTTGCCTATGGGGGTGTGTCAAACATTATATGTTTATATTGTTCTAGGCTGTAGTGGGTGATACCTTAGGGGGTATACCAGGTTAGGGTTTCATATTTGTACTGTTGTTCCTGTTAGTCACACCATTCCTGCTCAGTTATTTCTGACACTTTTCACTTCAAATGTTTCTGCCTGCATCGGTCTTGGTCAGACGGTTGCTGTGTCGCTTCGACTCTTCTGACTCCTCGACTTCGTACTCGGTAGAGTCGGCTCCTGCAGCATACAGGAATGCCTTCTTATAAAACTTCATATCGTAACAGTATTCAAATTATTTGTCACCCAGAAAAAAGTAATACAGAATTCCTTACAAATGGGTTTTTTTGTTGGAAACTTGTTATGGAGTTAATTTCTGGCTGGGGGGGGTTGAAAGCTATTTTGAAACATTGTACCTGCTTTTTGTAGGGGGCAACTACCCATTTCGTTCGCCTCTCCTCTGTTGGAACGTCAGCAACAGTGCCGCTGGATTATGCAGCATGGATCTGACGTACAGAGGAATCTGGCGGCCCTGTCGTGGCTGAACCTCAGATTTCTCACATGCCCCAGCACTGGCTTTCCTTGGTGAACAATCTCGAAAGACCTACAAACTGGTTTCCTCACTCCCAGCGCGGGATACGTTGCTGACGTTCGTGGCAGAAATTTGACCAGTAAAAATGCTGCCTTTGGATTCCTGGTGAGAGCAGCATGCCCCCAAACGGAATGCACAATGCACATGCCCATTGCAATTCGAAACAGTAGTCCTCAAATGCACGCACTACATACCATTTTCTGGTTGTGTTACACGTACCATGCACGTACTACATTCTTTCAGAATTAGAGCAAGTGAGACTCTGTTAAGCTTAAGTTCAATGTACACGGTGAAAAACGATAAGGTGCGATTTGAAGGGGTATGTTGTTTTACCGTTTTGAACCGCTACTCACCAATATGAACAGTGATACTTGAACTGAGAACGAACTAGGTTTGACCAGCCCTTGGATCAGCATATCCGACGATCATTAGCCTTTTTGTTTGAGACATTGCCCGTGAATACTACCGTATTCAAGGAGCATACTCGCCAGTTGCCCTCCTTGACATTCTGCCGCACTCATCAACGCAGTGGTGAATGGTGATAACCCGCGCAAATTGCGCAGAGTGTGGTGTGGTCCCCCCCCTTTGCCAGAAAGCCATGCCCAACACCATCCTCGCTCAGCCTTCATAGATATTCTTTCCAGTGCACCAAGAGAACACACTCATGTTACCACCACCCCTTAACCTGAATACTCTTCGTTGAAGAAGCCCAGCTTCGCCAGGGGAAAATCTCACGCCGCCCACCGACTTCGCAAACTCGCGCGATCCGGCATTCTCAGTGTCGCGAATCTTACGAGCATTACCATGACGCCACGTCACTTCATCCACCCGTCCCTCGGAATTCCCTGAGTCATGCTCCCCACTTCTCCCCTCGTCTGTGACCCGACCAGGGATCATGAACGAGGCGAGATGGCCTTGAATTGAGCGGTGACTTCTGTGTGCTCTGCTGCCATCTCTGGACTCAACACACATCAATAGGCTCTCTACCGTATGTTGCATTGGCCTCTTGGTCATCCCAGACGCTCTCCAAGCTACTTCCCTCGTGATCCGCGCCACGGTTTCCGTACCGTTTCTCGCCGAGTCTATACACTCAGGTCATTCCTGGCCAACAGCCTATGCTTGTCGTAGACTTTTAGCAAAAGGGATTGTCCTCTGGAATTTCAGCTTATTCCAAAGCCGTAGAGGCAGAGAGTGAGGGTGTGAGTGCGGGTAAGTAGGAGGGTTGCGACGAATCGCAGCTTCTCATATTGCCTCACGTAATAATGCCAGGCGACGGGATGCTGGCCACAGTGAAGGCCATAGCCTCCGAGTCGGAGCACAGCTGTCCCGTAGAGGCTGATCAGCAGCACGCGAGAGCAGCCGAGAAAGACGGAGACGAGACGGACGAGAGAAGACTGGGTGGACATGGGAAAGTTGTCGCGAGTTTTGAGCTTGTGACCGACAGTGGTGCTAGTAGTACCGACAATGCGACTGTGATGGCGTGCGCTTCGGCCATTACTCTCACCTCGTCCTCGGCAACCCCGTCTTCTATGACCCCATCATCTGCTACCCTGCCATGTACGGAAAAGAGCCGCCAAACCGAGTCCGATCGTTCGAATCGCTCCATCCCAGCTCACGATCATCGGTGCGTGGGGGGTTCCCCGAGGCCGCAGAAGCGTCCACGGTTAGCCACCCCGAGCTCTCCTTCTGTCGACGGCGTCGACGAACGCCAGACGCGTGGGCAAGCAATGGTCGCCGCCGGAATCAGGACAGCGACTGCGAGGGAGAGAGAACTGCTGCGGCCAGGTGCAGGGGACGGAGTAAGGACCACCAGTGGGAATACCGAAGCGCGCCAGGCGGAGAGCGTTGACCAGCAGGACTGTACTCAACCACCGTGCGGCTCAGCCTCGGCCGAGCCTCCTGAGAAGAACGGGGACGCGAGCGGAGGCGACGAGGAGGATTCACCGTTGGTGGTCCTTTCTGATAGTGCTGATGTTGCGAACGCTGCGACTGTTGGAGTGGTAACCACAGGAGAGTGTGACCTGAACTTGGACGTCACTACAGTGGTGACTCCAGGCGGCGGTGCGAAGTCGGGACCAGACGGCGGTTCGGAACGCGCTGGCGATCCCAAAGGCGCGGAGGATGCAGCCGTTACCATGACCGTTACCGTTTCCGTCAACGACGCCGCGACGGTGGACACGCCCAAGCGCAGAGGTGACCGGGGTGGGCAAGGATGCGAGGACGAGAGGGCTGGGGAAGCAGAGGAAGGGCTGGAATCGGCGGCGAGAGAAGACGGACCTGTACTAGGAAAGCCGGACGGAGTGGTTATGGCGGAAGCGGGGACGGGGGAGGAGACGGGGGAAGGGGACGGTGAGATGGATTGGGAGGGCGATGGCGCCGGGATGACTCTTGACGAGTTGCTCCTATTGCAAGGCGATCTGGACAATCTGCCTCTTGACGCCTCCGCCGCCGCCGCCGCAGCCATTGCCGATGGAGAAGAGTCTCCGGAGCAGGCGTGCTTGCCAGCGACGGAAACGGCGCGCACCGCTGATGATTCCCGACACGTTGAGGCGGATGGTGAAGTTGCGGTGACCGCTGGTAGCCTGGCGATGGTCTTGCCAAGCGGCCGCCTTGCGATCGGAAGGAAGGGAAGAGAGGGAACGGAAGGAACAGAAGAAAGCGAGGGAAGACTGGGCTGTTCTGTCGGAGGTCCAGTGCTGGCTGGTTGCTGCGGTACGATGAGGCGGTATCGCGTTCAATGCGATGCTGGCACTGGGGCGGTGGATGCAAGGGAAAACGGGGAGGAGGAGGGCTCGCGGCGCGGCTCGCACGACTGTTCTGACGCGGAAGCGACGCACGGCTCGAGGGCTGCGGCTGATACTCCCCACGCCCGCACCCACGGCCACGCGCACGCGGATGCGGGCGTTGATGCGCACGCTGACACTGTCGATGGCGCCGACGACGACGCCGACGCTGGCGCTGGCGCTGGCGCTAGCGCTAGCGCTGGCACCGCCGCGCGGGAAGCGACGGAAGGTGGCGAGATCAACAGCGAGGAGAGTGGAGAAGCTGAAGATAAGGCAAATGGGCGTGAGACGACGCAAGACGAGGCGAACTTTCTAGAGGCTGTTCCAGGTTTTGAAACAGGAGGCGCAAGAGGAGGAGGCGAAACGGCAGGTGAGGAAGACGAAGCTCGAGGCGGGGATGGCGCACCGCATCGTCGTGATGCGACGCGCGAGACGAGACGTGCGGGAAGCGGTGGACGCAGCGGCAGCAGCGGGAGCTGCGGGCATAGCGGCGGAGACGGAAGCAGGAGCGAAAAGGAGGAGGGCGAAAGAGAAATTGGTGCTGGTTCAGGTGCCAGCAAAACCGCCGCGCCCTCTAGTGCTCTGCCCTCTGCTTCTTTACCCCTTCTCGTCCAGTGTTCCTCCTCTGCCTCCGCGCTGCCTTCCGCATCTGCTCCGCTTCCTGGCCGCTCTTGCGCCACTGCTGCAACTGCTGGCTACGGAATTGCTTCTCAAGCCACCGCTGTTGCTCGTGCAGATGCTACAACGAATGAAGGCGATGTTGCCGACGCTGATCCTGCGACTGCTGTGGCTGCTAATGAGTCAGGTGGTGCCGCCACTTCGCCTGCTCCTGCCACTACTGCTATGGCTTGTACTGCCACTGCCGATGCCGCTACCGCTGCTTCTGCTGCCGCTGCTGCTACTGCTGATGGTGCCGAGGACTCAAGAGGCGAGTCCGTCCCTTCATGCACACCGTCTCTAGTCCCAGCTGCCTCTGCCTCTGCCTCCGCCTCTGCCTCTGCGCTTCCTTTGTCTGCTTCCCTCCCCACCTCCTCGCCCTCGTCCCCCATCCGCTCGACCCACTCCTCCGCGTCCGTCGCCCAAGGCACCACCACCTCCAAGCTCGCCAAGAGGGCGTCGCCTTCCCCTTCCTGCCCACTCGCAGCAACAGAATCTGCAGCAAAGAGGTCTGATAGCGCAACACGTGCAAACGCTGCATCAGCAACAGCAACAGCACCAGCAGCAGCGGTGGCGGCGGCAAAGGTGGCGCCAGCAACGTCCGCTCCTGCAACATCTGCTGCTCCCTCTGTGGCCTCTTGCCACCCGCCCTTGCGCTCGTTGCAAGCCGCCAGGGCAAGCAGCGGCAAGGGACTCAAAACCATCATGCCTGCTCCCTTCTCCTGCCAGCCTTCCTACCCGCCCTCCTACCCCTCCGCCTACCCGTCCCACTACCCGTCGTCCTATCCCACCTACCCCTCCTGCCCCTCCTATTCCTCCTACGCCTCGCCTTTCGCCCCGTCTCTTGCTGCTTGTGCTGCTGCTTCCGGTGGTTATTTCGGTGCCAGTCAGCCGGTGCCTGTGGGAATGCCACTCATGGCAGGGCCAGGGGCTTTGGCCGCAGGCAGCATGGGCGGCATGGTTGGTATGGCCGGCATGGGCGGGAGCGTATCACATGGTATGCCAGCTAATGCCCTTGCGGTGGCGGCCAGTGGAATGGCTATTAACGAACCGGGAGGAATGGGGATGGTGGGTGGGACTGCAGCCTGGCCTGGAGCAAGAGCGATGTTCCCAATGAGTAGCGGCAGCATGGGCATGAATGTCAACGCGAACACGGGAATGGTTATGGGAATGGGCGTGGGAATGGGCATGGGTATGGGGATGGGCGTGGGTGTGGATATGAGCGCGGGGACTGGGGGTGGAGGAACCGTTGGGGCGACAGCCATGGGTGTGCCCGTGCAGCAGCAGCAGCAGCAGCAGCAGCAGCAGGGAGGGTGGGGGATGGTGCCGGCAGCAGCACCGATGAACCAGCCCCAGGGACCCACGTTTCATTGCCAGCAGCCCCAGATGGTTCCGTTTCACGGATGGGCGAGTGCTGACATGAGCATGGGCATGGGCATGGGCATGGTTGGTGGTGGCATGAACATGGCATCATCTGCTGGAACGCCGGCAGTGGCAGCAGGCTATGGGGCATCCTCGGCTTCCATGTGGTGCACACCTCAGGTAACACCCTACACAGGCTCCTGCAGAGCCTGCAGCCTGCAGCCTGTCAACCCCATGCACCATGCACCACACACAAATCTCGGCTTTCCTGCCTTTTCTGATTCGCGACCTTCTCTCCCCCTCACCATTTCCTCATTCTCCCAGTCCCATCTCTCCCCTCCACCTATCCTCCCTTCTCCCCCTTTCCCCTGCCCCTCCCCTTCCGCACTCCCCTCTCCACCCCGAAACTGGCGCTTCTCCCCAACAAACAGGGAACTTGGGTGCAACAAGCGGCGCAAGGCACGCCTCAAGCCCAGCATGCATACCCATACCCGCCGTCATCATCATTATCATCATCATCGCAAGCATTCCCCTGTGCTTCGCAAGCATACCACCACTCAACGCCTCTCCTCGGAGTTCCTGCCAGCAGCAACGTGCCGGCGCCTGCTGCTCCTGCTCCTGCACCTGTTGCCTCTGCCACCGCCACTGCTGCTGCTGTGGTGGCCCCCCCTCCACAGCAGCACACCACCTTTTCATCTGGCAACACTGACTGCGCTGGCCCATTGGGAAGCCGCGTGGATGTGGCAGCGGCTGCTGCTGCTGCTGCTGGTGCTGGTGCTGGTGCTGGTGCTGGTGCTGGTGCTGGTGCTGGTGCTGGTGATACCGATGATGATGGCAGTTGTGGCCGTGGAGGCATGGGCTTTCTGCAAGAGCTTGAGGGATCGGCTATGGAGGGCGACAAATTTCCTTCTTTCTCTGCGCTGCCATCACTGCACCCCGCTCCAACCACCCCCACCACGACCACTACCACTACCACTACCACCACCAGCAACAGCAACAGCAACAGCAACAGCGCTGGTCCTTCGTCCTCGCACACTGTCTCATGCACCGAGCACCGGCACTCCAGCCTACCCCAAGCTGCTGAATGCGCTACTGCCGCTCTCTTGGCCACTGATGGTAGCGCTGCTGCTGCATCATCTGCCATCCCTGCGAGTCGAGCAGAACATACCGCTGCGAAGAGGCAGGGGAAGCACAATCCTGAAAGGAAGGGAGTCAGTGCTCCTGCTGGTGGCAGGATCAGTGGTGGTGATTGTTGCCGCAGTCGTCTCGATGGCACTGGCTGTAACAGTGGTAGCACCAGAAACGGTGGTGAGAGCGGAAACCGCGTTGACTGCAGTAACTGCAGCAGTGCCGGTGGAGGTGGTAGGACAGTTGCCCCTCTTCATCGCACTCCTGTCGCCTCTGTGTCTGCTACCATGCCTTCTGCTGGTGCTGCAGCTGCTGCCAACGCCGCTGCTGCTTTCCTTCTCAATGCTGCTGCTGCAGCTGAACCCTCGCCTGATCCTCACGCTGCTGCTGCTCCTTCCTCCCAAAAGAATGTGGAGACTGGATCACGTGAAGCGACCATGGAAGAGGAGAGGGGAGCGGAGGAGGAAGCACAAGGTGAGGAGAAGGCGAAGGAGGAAGGGCAGGGTTCAGGTGTGCAAGGGGACGCAGTGGCAGATGCAGATGCAGAAGCAGAAGCAGAAGCCTTGTTCTCAGACTCACTGCTTCGTGATGACGACCACGGGCTCTCCTCCTTTGTGCTCAACCTCGCCCTGCCTTCCAACTCTCCTTGCGCTCCCACTGCCACCCTATCGGATGCCATCAGTGGGGCTCCTAGCACCAAAGACGGAGCAGGAGGAGCAGGAGGAGCAGGAGGGGCAGGAGGGGCAGGAGGGAGAGGAAGCGGGAGCGGCAAGCAGGGTGGTACAAGGGGTGCGCAGCAGGCAAGGGAGATGGGAGATGAGGGTGTGAGCTACTTTATTCATGGGGCAGGCTGTGGTGGTGCAGCAGGGGCGAACTTCCTGGACGTGGATGTGTTTGGATGGCTTGCAGAGGACTCGCCTTTCGGAGGCTCACCAGTCAAGCCCATGCCTGCTGTAAGTCTCGCTTCAGCTGCCCTCTTGCCTCAGTCTCACTTTCTTTTCTTCCTCCCCCATTCCCCCCCGTTTCCACCCCTCCTCCACTGCCCTTCGCCCCCACGGTCCCGTTCACATCCACCCCTCGTCCTTCCATCCCCTTGTTCCCCTCGTTCCCCTCATGTCCTCACCCCGCGTTACGCTCAACCATGCTGGATCCTTCAACGAATCTGGATGCTTAAGAATCCGTCTCCCCCTCGCAATGCTTCTATTTCCTCCCTCTGGCAGGCACAACCGGTGGTGGGCATGGTTGCGGACGCAACCAACAGCAGCAGCAGCAACGATCTGTGTGGAGAAGCCACCACTGGCACCCACGCAGCAGTCCCAGCCCCAGCAGCAGCTGCCACAGGCGCAGCAGTGGCAGAAACAGCAGCTTCAGCAGCAGCACCAGTAGCAGTACCAGCAGCAGCCACAGCAGCATCAACAGCAGCAGCTGCTGAAACAGCAGCAACAGCGCCAGCCGCACCAGCAGGTGGTTCAACTCAAGTTGCTGTGCCTGCTGCTACTCATGTCCTCCCTCGGAAATCTGCCGCTGCAGCTGCTGCGGTAGCAGCAGCAGCAGCACCCGTTCCTGTTGCTGCTTCTGCAGCTGCTTCAGGAAAACCCGGCCCAAAGAAAAAGAAATCTTTAGCCAGACCTGCTGCTGCTGCTGCTGCTGCGGCTACTGCTGTGGGCAATTCCGCAACCAGGACAACCAAAAATGCGAAAGCCGGCACACCTGCCATGGTCAACAAGAAGGCGACTGCGGCTGCTGTTGCCACTGCTCCTCCTGCACCCACCTCTAATTCAACTCCCTCTCCTGCTACCAGTGCTGCTGCATCAACCGTCAAAGCATCTATTCCTGGTGGGAAAGGGGCTGTTGCCGCAGCCAACAAGGCAGCAATTGCGGAATCTACTCGTGCTCCTGGATCCAACCCCACGTCTGCAGCCAAGGCGAATGCAACTAGCAGCTCTGTGGCTGTCGTGAAGGCACCTGCTGCTGTGTGTGGTGGTGCAGTGGATGCTGCACGGGCTGCTGTGGCGGCTGTGCCCTCGTCCCTTGGGCCAAAGGCCGTGCTTGCTCAGATCAGAAGTGGAAAGGTTGCTGCAGCCATGGCTGCCGTTCATGCTGCTGGTCAGGCTTCTCCCTGTGCCGTGGCAATGCTCAAGGCAGGTGCGGTCAGTACACTGGCAGCAACTAAGACTGAAGGACCGTGTCAAAAAGTGGGAACAAAAGCAGCAGCAGCAGCCGGGGCAGGAGCTTTGGTGCATAAGAAAGGAGTTGCGCAGAATGCATCTGCAGGAGTGGCTGCAGGACACGCACGGCATGGGCTCCAGGCAAACCCATCTCCTCGCCTCACTGCTGCTCTCTCTTCTCTTCGAAACGGATGCAACAAGTGAGATGAATGTAGAGATCTCTTTAGTATAGGGTAGGCAGTTATGATGTATCAAGATAGGGTTGCATAGTTTGTTTCCAATAATGCAAAGATGGCAAAGATTGAGACTACTGCAATGGTCACTGGTGTGCCAACGTGTGACTAAAAGCCGACCACTTGGTGAACACGCTGTAGCCATACGCTTTAAAGTTTTTTTGCAATTTCCCGCCCTTGGGAATGCCCTTTGGGCTACCCCCTCTTCCCCAACCCCAAAGTCTAGGCGTCAAGGGTCGTTTCGCCTCGATAACCCCACATGCCACCGGTCTGTCGCAAGCGACTCCAAAACCACCAGTTGCGACCTCGCTTGCTGTCGTACGCTCGCAGACCAGCCGTTGAAGCCGTTGGCTAGTCGCACGCAAAAACCAAAGCAGGTTTCTCCCCGCCGCCCCCCTCAAGTCGATCGCGTTCGCCTGCTCACCCTGGACACAGCGGAATCTGGGGCATTCCGATACGCGCTGGGCTGGAAGTCACACACTTGGATCAACCGACTGGCTTGCGCGGACCGACTTTTACCGAAGCAGATTTGCTGCGCGTTCTGTCTCGCTCGGGGTCAATTAGGCTAGGCAGCAAATTATCATTGTAGTGCCTTGTGACCAGCGACAGCCGTGTCTGCGACCACCGCTTGCTGCAAACAATTTACACGGCTTGATTGCCTTCGAGCAGATCCTTTTTCCAGCCGCCTCAAGAACTTGATTTGGAGCAGATCCTTAATTTCTAACCAGAGGAAAACGATTCCCTTGTTTAGGCTTAACAGGATCACCGTCGCCCATACCCTCGTTGACGTCGATTGTCAGGTTTTCCACCACCTCCCCCTCTTTCCAACGTCAACCTCTCGCCGCATAGTTCTCTAATTTGCCGGCCCGATGGCGACGCCGGATTTCTCGGATCTCGAGGCGGTGGACGCGGTGCGGCTGACGTGGAACGTGTGGCCGAATTCCAAGGTGGAGGCGACCAAGTGCGTGGTGCCGTTCGCCGCGGTCTATACGCCCGCGAAGCGACTTCCCGAGATGCCCGTGCTGCCGTACGAGCCCATCCGCTGCAAGTCGTGTCGCTCCGTGCTGAACCCGTTCGCGCGCGTAGACTTCATTGGAAAGATGTGGATCTGCCCCTTCTGCTACCAGGTGCTCCTGCTGTTGCTGCTGCTGCAGCGCTCCTGCTGCCTAGTCCGTGTGCTCCCGGGGTGGCTGCTGCTGGTGCTGCTGTGCCGATTACTTGCTCATTTGAAGGTGTTCTTTTGGGGGAAAAGATTAAATGTGTAGAGATTACGCTGGGTATTATGTGGCGCAAAATTGACGCCATTCGCTGCTAGATTGAGACCGGCATGCGCTTTGAGAAGCCGAGACTACTTTCTGATCGTTGTTTCCCCTCCCTTTTCTTCCCTCCCCCCTCTCCCCACCCCCATCGCCCGCCGCCCCCCGCGCGCAATCCCGCGCGCAGCGCAACCACTTTCCGCCGCACTACGCGGCGATCTCGGAGTCGAACCTGCCGGCGGAGCTGTTTCCGCAGTACACGACGATCGAGTACACGCTGCCCACGGTGGGCCCGCCCGTCAACCCCGTCTTCCTCTTCCTACTCGACCTCTGCCTCATAGATGAAGAGCTGGGATACCTCAAAACCGCCGTCTCGCAGGTGCGCCGCTGGTTGGGCGCGTGCGTGTGTGGGCGCGTGCGTGTATGGGCGCGTGCGTGTATGGGCGCGTGCGTGTATGGGCGCGTGCGTGTATGGGCGCGTGCGTGTGTGGGTGTGTGTGGGTGTGTGTGAGTGTGTGTGAAGCCACCCAACCGTCCAGATTTTCCAGACGAGAGAACCCCGTCTTGTTCTTCCTGCTCGATGCGCGCATTCACACGCAGCACACCTTGGCACACCTCCCGCGCCTCTGAACCTATCCTTCCTGCTCCCGCACTCGCGCACCCACACCACTCCACCCACTCCCCGCTTCTCGACCCAGGGAATTCAAGAGGATAAAACAAAAGCCATTCCGTCCGCCGTCGTCCGCCGCTTCCCGTCCCTCCTCCCCCCCCCCTCCCCCCCCCCCCCCCCCCTCCTCCCCACACCCCCCTGCCGCAAACAGGCCATCGGCCTTCTCCCTGAGAACGCGCTGCTAGGCTTAATCACGTACGGCACGCAGGTGCACGTGCACGAGCTGGGCTTCTCCGACTGCCCCAAGATGTTCATCTTCCGCGGCACCAAGGAGGTCTCCCGCCAGCAGATCATCCAACAGCTCGGCCTCTCCGGCCCAGGCGCAGCCGGCGCAGCAGCAGGAGCCGCGGGGGGCGGGGCTGGCGGGGCGGGAGGCGCAGGAGGCGGTGCCGGGGCGGGCGGGGGAGCGGGGGGGATGCGGGACGGGGTGCCGGCAGCGGGAGTGGCGCGGTTTTTGCTCCCGGCGCAGGAGTGCGAGTTCACAGTGGCGACGGTGCTGGATGAGTTGAGCAGGGATGCGTTTCCAGTGCCGCTGGGGCAGCGGCCTGCCAGGTGCACGGGCACGGCTCTGAGCGTGGCGACTGCTCTGCTGGGCGCTTGTGTTCCCGGCACGGGTGCGCGGATACTGAGCTTCGTGGGCGGGCCCTGCACGGAAGGACCTGGCATGGTGCGTGTGAGGTGGGCGGACTGGTGCTGTGGAGGGCAGAAGGGAGAGGGAGGCTGATGGGGAGAAGGGAAGGGGTGGGGAGAGGGAGGAGGGAAGAGCTAATGAGGAGGAGGGAGGGGTGGGGGGCTGATGGAGAGGAGGGAGGGTTTGAATGGAGAGAGGGAGGGGAAAGGTGGTGGAGCTGGGCTTTGCCAACATGCGTCTGTCTGTATGCCTTTCTGTCTTTGTCCCCCCACGCTTCCACCCTCCATTCCTCCCTCTGTTTCCCTCTCCCTTCCCCCCCTCCCTTTTTCCTCCCTTAGCCCCTCCTTCCCCCCTCCCTTCCCCTCCCGTCCCTTCCCTGCAACCTTCCCCACTCCATTCGCCCCCGGCTCCCCCGTCCCTTTCCCCTTTCCCAACCCCATCCCCCGTCCCACCGCCAACCCCACGCACAGATAGTGGGCAGGGATCTATCGGAGCCGATACGGTCACACAAGGATCTGGACAAGGATGCGGTGGTGCACTACAGCAAGGCCGTCAACTCCTGTCTCTCTACATCCTTCTACACCCCTTCCCCCCTCACGTTTCCCCCGCCCTTTCTCGCCACCTTCCCCGCACCTTTCCCCCACCTTCCCCCATCCCTTCGCCCCCCCTTCCCCCCTCCCTTTCTCACCCCCATCCCCCGTCCCATCCCGCTCCCCACGTGCAGATAGTGGGGACGGATCTATCGGAGCCGATACGGTCGCACAAGGATCTGGACAAGGACGCGGTGCCGCACTACAGCAAGGCCGTCAAGTTCTATGACGGGCTGGCCAAGCAGCTCGTCGCCCAGGGCCACGTGCTCGACCTCTTCTCCTCCGCCCTCGACCAGGTGCCCTGCCCCACGCTCGCTCCCCTGTCTCTCCTCTTCTATCTCTCCTCCTTTCTGCCTCCTCGTGTCTGTCTCCTCTTCCCTGTCTCCTCTCCTCTGCCGCCTCTTTCCATCTTTCCTCTCCCCCCGCCATACTTTCAGATTCCGTGGCGCTCGTATTCCCCTTACACACCTGCTTGTCATCACCCTATCACACCACCTTTCACCCCACCTTCCTCTCCCTCTACTCTCCCCCTCTCCCTCCAAGTCCCCCCCTCGCCTCTCCTCCCCATCCCCCGTCCTCCCTCCCCCTCATTCTCACTCTCCCGCATCCCTCCCTCCCACTCCCTCCGTCTCTCCCCCACCAGGTGGGCATAGCGGAGATGAAGGTGGCAGTGGAGAAGTCAGGCGGGCTGGTGGTGCTATCGGAAAGCTTCGGCCATCCAGTGTTCAAGGACTCGCTCAAGAGGGTCTTTGACACGGGCGACACCTCCCTCGGCCTCTCCTTCAAGTAAGCCCCTCCTCCTTTGCTTAACTCGTTGATCGATTCCGACCGGTTTGCGTGATGAGGCACAAGGGTTGCCCGGTCTTTCTTTCTTGATAGTCTCTGACTCATTCCTCGCTGTACGAGCAAGCCTCCCTTTTACCCACCTTCTTTCCCTTCCTTTTCTTCTTCTCCTTCCCCTTCCCCTTTCCCTTTCCCCCCTTTCCCCTTTTCCTTTCCTTTCCGTTCCCCTTCCCTACCCTGCCCTGCCCTGCCCTGCTTCTGTGAGAGCAGTGGCATATTCGAGGTGCACTGCTCCAAGGACATCAAGGTGCAGGGAGCCATCGGGCCATGCTCCTCACTTGACAGAGTGCGTACCGCATGCCCCATGCCCCATGCATTGTCGTCTCACATCATGCTAACCGATATCAAGCCTGTTCTAGACCCATCTATTGAGCCCACGCTTCTGGGACGTATTTTGAGGCGCTTCAAACTACCACCCCCTTCACCCCCCCCCCACCCCCCCTCCCCTCCTTCCCTTCCCCCTCTCTCCCTTCCCCCTCTATCCCACGCACTTGCTGACTGCAGAAAGGGCCGTTGACGTCGGATGTGGCGATAGGGCAGGGGCACACGACGGCGTGGAAGCTGTGTGGGCTGGACGTGTGCACGTCGCTCGCTGTGCTCTTTGAGATTGTGCCCGCGCAGCAGCAGCAGGCGCAGGCACAGGCGGCCGCGCAGGGCATGCAGAACCCTGGAGCACAGCAGTTCCACCTGCAGTTCACCACCTCGTGAGTCACAGAAGAGGGGGGCGGGGGGGGGGGGGGGGGAGATGGGTGGGTGAGAGCACATCAAAACGGGTAAAGTCGTTTAGAGGAGCGGAAGGAAAGGTCTAGGTTGGGTGAAAAAGGATCATGGTTATGTACACTGCCTGCATCTGCCGTCCATCCATACCCTCCCCTTTCTCCACTTTGCTTCATTTATTCCCCCCCCTCTTCCCAGCATCCCCACCCCCCCCCCCACCTCTCTTTATGCCTCTGCACCCATCGAAGAAGGCACATCACTTCCCTCCCCTTCCCTCCTGTTCCCTCCCACCCTTCCCTTCCCTTCTTCTTCGCTTCAACCCTATTCCATCCCTTCCCTCCCCTCCCCTCCCCTCCTCCCTCCCCCCATCCCCGCCCCCATTCCCCCCCGCACACATGCCCCAGCTACCAGCACCCATCGGGGGAGACGCGGTTACGTGTGACGAGCATCACGCGGCGGTGGGTGGAGGGAGCGAGCTCAGGCGACCTCGTGGCAGGCTTTGACCAGGAGGCCGCTGCTGCTGTGGTTGCCAGAATCACCGGATTCAAGATGGAGACCGAGGTGGGGGGCAGTTGTTGCTTGCTGTGAGAGGGGTGCTTCTTGTGAAAGAGAGGTTCAGGTGGGGCGGGGAAAGAGGTGAGGGGGGAAGTTGTGGGGAGGGGAAGAGATGAGGGGGGGAAGAGCTGTGGAGGGGGGATGATGAGGGGGAAAGGGGAAAGGTAGGAACCTGTTGATTGAATAGTGAGGCGGTTTTACAGATGCACACCTGCCTCATTCCTGCCACAATACCCTCTTGCCACTCTCGTTCTCACCCCTCCTTTTCTGTTCCCCCTCCTTTTCTCGCCTCTCTTTCCCAGGAGGAGTTTGACGCCACGCGGTGGCTGGACCGGCTGCTGATCCGCGTGTGCAACAAGTTTGGGGACTACCGCAAGGACGACCCCGCCTCCTTCTGCCTCTCGCCCAACCTCTCGCTCTTCCCGCAGTTCCTCTTCAACCTGCGCCGCTCACAGTTCGTGCAGGTGCGTGGGCCGTGTGTGTCTGATCCCTCGAGGTGCCTTTCAGCAGGTGCGAGCACTGCGCCTCAAAAGCAAGTGCAGGGCAAGGGTGCTGCTGCAGGTGGATGCGTGTAGTGTAGGTGCGTAGGGCGTGGCTGCTGCGGGTGTGTGGTCGGAGGGAGGATGGGACAAAAGAGGTTTGTCCAGGGTTGATGCGAAAAGAGGAAACGGCTGCCGTTCTTTTCTGCCTTTTTTTTCTGGCGCCCTTTTCTGCCGTTCTTTTCTGCCGTTCTTTTCTGCAATCAGTGATTGTTGGCCCAGTATGCACACTGTCTTTGCCAGTTTCTTCAAAATCAAAGAAGCAATGGTCGCTTATTTTACCCAGATCGCACGTCAATTTCTCCCTTCCATGCACCCCCCATTTGGCCGTATGGGCTCTTCTCCCTCGTCCATGCCACTCTGCATCCTGTTACATTCTTTCGCATGTCACGGCACCAGGTGTTTGGCAGCAGTCCAGACGAAACAGCGTATTTCCGAATGGTGCTCAACAGAGAGAGCGTGCTCAACTCCCTAGTCATGATCCAGGTAATCGCCTTGAGTACTCGCCTTTAACAGCTGCATGCATTCGCGGCTCCCTTGTGCTGCTCAACTGCCCCACGTGCATGCTTTTCCCTCTCGTACCTGCCTTTGCTGCACTGGTCACTCATGTCAATGAAAAGGACTTATTAAGAGAAATTCCGTCTCCTTTACTCCCACTCGCCCTTTCCTCCGCTCTCTTCCTGTGCAGCCGACGCTGACAGCCTACTCGTTCAACTCACCGCCAGAGCCGGCGCTGCTGGACGTGGCAGCCATCGCAGTGGACCGCATCCTGCTGCTCGACGCATTCTTCTCCGTTGTCATCTTCCATGGCAGCACCATTGCTCAGTGGCGCAATGCTGGTTACCACAACCAACCCGAGCACCAGGTGGGTGGACTATTGAAGCCAGTATTTCCTTTCTTTGATTTTCCTTTTCCCTTTTCTTCCCTCCTCCTCTCCTCCCCCCCTTTCCCCCCCACTCTCCCCGGGCCTCTCCCTTCCCCCCCAACCCTCCCCCACCTGTTGACTCCGCCACCCCAGCTCCTCCTCCCCATGTCTCTGCTGTCGTCTGTTCTCCTTGTGCCCCATAACCACTACTGGGATGGCCAAGTTCTCACACGCACATGCACACTCACACCTGTTTCTCCCCACCTGCCTGTTTCCAGTGCTATCGCAAGCCCAGGCTATGACATCTCATTAACCCCACCTCCCCTTGCAATCTTTCACTTTCTCCCCACCGACCTGCTCTCCTGTGGTTTCCCCCTCCCTGCTCCGCCTGCGCCCCGCTCCCCATTTCTCCCCCTGCTGCAGGCCTTTGCGCAGCTGCTACAGGCGCCCCAAGCGGACGCAGCGGCCATCATAGCAGAGCGGTTCCCCGTGCCGCGACTCGTGGACTGCGACCAGAATGGCAGCCAGGTATGGCGGGGGGGGGGGAGCGGAGGGAGAAGGGGAAGATGGGTGGATACGGGCGTGGGGGAGGGGGAAGGGGAAGGAAAGGAGGATATAATGTAGAAGGGTGAGCTAGAGAGAAGGGTTAGGAAGTGGGGGGTGGAGGTGCAGGGGGGTGAGTGGTTGTTGGGAAAGCGGGGTGTCCCGCTTGAGGGGTTTCGTGCGTGTGCACATTGAGGGGTGCCTAAGTTCGGCACATATACATGGTCCTTTCTCCCGCAACCCTGGTCTGTGTATATGGAGGATACATGCATGCCAGTTAACCATCTTCCCAATCCCCCGCTTGCTGCACGTGTGTCTCCGCACAGGCCCGGTTTCTACTGGCAAAACTGAACCCGTCTGCGACATACAACAGCGCATCAGCAGTGCCGGGGGGAGAGGTTATTCTAACAGACGACGTGTCGCTGCAGGTGTTCATGGAGCATCTGCAACGGCTGTCCGTGCAGTCATAGGTGTGCGGTGCGGTGCAGTACAGTCGATTGGGGGTAGGGTAGGCTAGGCAGAGTGTTAGAACAGAGGAAGAGTGAGCAAAAAAAGAGGGTCCCGGAAGGAAAAAGGATTCTCTTTTTACAGCCGCAACAACATTGACAACAATGCTTGTATTGTTCAAGCCACAGCTCACATTGGAGCAGAACTTGCTCATAGAATGCTGACTTGGCACATGGTGGTTTTCTGATAACAAATGGATAGTGATTATAATGAGGTAGGAGTGCAACAAGTCAACTGGCTCGGTAACTGCAGCCCAGGCACGCCCCGATCAGCCAATTATTTGCCTTCCCGCGCATTGCACGAACCTCACCTTTCGGGGCTCCTGCGGCCCATCCGGTGCCAGATAAGATGGGCCACTAGAACCAAACCATTCGGGCTCCATGCTGGCACCAAACGTGCACAGCAGCCTCGGAACAAACATATGTCCAGAAACGAAATGTTTTCCCCAGATTCATGTCCCATCCGGCGGCTATTAGCTGGCCTGCTTTTAGATCGACGGTGAAAAGTGATGGAAAAGACATGTTCATCTGAGTAGCAAAATCTACTAGAACGGGAGGTATGGGATGAGAAGCCTGCCATCCTCGTCTTGGTGTGGTATCTCAGCTCTGCTGCTCAAAGTGTATCTGGCCGCCAGTAGTGTTCCGAAATGTGATGTTCGTTCTTCCCTCCAATGTACCCTTTCCATTCATGAAACATCTCGCCTTGTGTTAGCTTCTTACTCCAGAAGCCATTCTTTGTTTTAGCTGTTAGTTGCACATAATGGCAGCAACCTCGATGTCGTACGTTGCCCAACAAGCCCGTTTGGTAGCCGTGACCACCACCACCACGAGCAGCGCTGTCAGCCCTAGTAGCACCGGCGGCGTGACACGTGGCTCAGACCCCGTCGCCTGCTGGCAGCGATCTCCGTTTTCCCCTCGTTGTAGCTCTGCCAGACCTCTTCTCTCTTCTCCGTCCAGCCAATCGAGCCACATCCACAGATTGGAACGACCGGATGCCTTCCTCCGAAGCAGTCCGCATCGTCGCTGTCAGCCGGCCAGAAGGTCCGCCGTCCGTGTCCAAGCCGCTAAAGATAAAGCCGTAGCGAAGAGCAAGGGAGGGACCGAGAAGGGCGGGAGCGATCAAGAGCTGGTTAAGGTCGTGGTGCACCGGTCGCAGGATTCTAAGAACCTCGTCAGCGAGCAATCTACTGCCGTGAGAACATTTTACCCTTGTCTCGTTTCCCCGATTGTGCCCGCTGTGCTGAACTTTAACAATTTCCGTTCGGGTCAGGTTCGACCCATGGCCACAACACTCGCATCTGCGTCCCCATTTATATCCCATCCCAACCGCTCCTATCCGGCAGTTCTCGTTCCTCGAGCGCTTACCGTTACCCACCGGGTCTGCAGCAAAGTGGTGGACGGTAGGCGGAGTGGCAGCAGCTCTACTGGCCGTGGTCGGGGTCAGCGCAGTGCTCGTTCGCAGAGCCAGGGGGCAGGAGGAGAGACCTGTGGACTCGCTAGCTCGCCGAGGGTTCATTGCGGCCGACAGATCTGTGCCGTACGTGTGTTATATACATAATATTTTTAAAGCGGGTATTGTTTGTGGAAGGAATAAGAACACTATCGTTGTCGCAGCTTGTAACTCTCACCTTGCTCCCGCTCGAGCGCCGTAGTCTCATGTCACGGATGTAAGTGCCGAAAAGTTATTTTGCCCTCACGAACGGGTTCAAGCCAATTACGAAATTCATCCCGTTTTCTATCGCTCTGCATTTTTCCTCTCCATGCGCCCTCAGGTTGCGCGTGATACGGGAGTTCGACGACCCGACGTCGGTGCGGAATTACCGCATAGGCAATGCGACTTTGGTTGAGCTGGAGCCGTTGCCGCCTCTGACTAACGAGAAGATGGAGTACCACAGGCAGCAGCGTCGCAAGGAGCACGGGTGGAAGAAGCCGGAGCTAGTGCTGGTGGAAGGAGACCCTGTGCCGGAGGGCGTGGATCCCATGACAGTGCGGTTCATCCCACGAAGACACCCCTTCTCGCTTAATCAGGTGAGTGCTCCAATTTTCACGCCAAAACAGAGATGCACGGAATTTATATGCTAGGTAGGGCTTTTGTGCGTTACCACATAGTTGCAGCTTCTAGAGGCAATGATATGAGAAGCAACGAAGATTGTTTGGTCCGGGCAAGTGTATGAAAGGTTCGTTGTTTTAGGTGCGAGAACCCTGAATGTCCGTTGCTTGCAACCATAAGGTACGTGTTGACTGGGAGTGCCACGTCAGCCCTCCGATTCAAGGGCACTGATCTTCTACATGGTGTATCAATTACCTTGGCTACCTGGACGGATGCAGCTTACATCGTTTTTGTGATTCAGTGAACTCACCCATGTTGGAATGTATGCTGTGTGTCGGTTGCAGGGAGAGGGCGAGGAGGAGCTGTCAGAAGAGGTTGCTAGGCGTAGATTGATGCAGCGACGGGGTAGACCAGAGAAGGAGCAGGAGAGGAGTAGGAGGCAGCTGGAGAGGTTGAGACGGGAAGTGGAAGAGAGGGACCGGGTCGAAAGGGAGGAGAGGGAGAGGAATCAGCGCTCGGAAGGAAGTGTTAGGCATGTTACTTCATCTGGTGATACATCATGAGAAACAACAGTGGAATTTCTGGCCTAAGATAAATTTTACCATCAGAAGCAACTCTTTCAATTAAGGTGCACATTTTTCCCCATGTTTGTAGTAAGGTAGACATGGTTTGCTTGGGGAGTGTGTCAATGCTTTTAGTAAACACTGACAGTGAACTGCACAAGTTCAGGCCATTTTCCGAAAAAGTGCCACACAAATAGAAAGTTTAGTTTGTGACCATGGTTATATCTTTTCATTTTATTTTATTGAAGGTATACATCCGCTGAGGGTCAGATGTACCACACATAATCCTCCCTCTTACAGTATCATCCCATCAAATCAAGGCTCCATCAGGTTTACTGGGATGCGGACCTCTGCCTGATAAAACGAGGACATCAACTGGTGTTTGAAAGTTTCTGTGTGGGGCCAGCTGGCGCCCCTGAAATTTTCCACCTGTTACGGTTTCGTGTTTCTGCGATGATGCACCACGTAGCGGCGAAACGATGAACAAATGTTGCTCTGGTTCTGGGCAGTATGCCTTGAAAATAGGTGTCGGCAAAGTTGCCACTCACGGAGTTTTTTTCCTCCTCTGACCAAAATGTGCCATCACCTCCACCCTGGTGCCGGATTCCAGTCCCGCGCAGCCAAAGCTCGTGCTCGGCTTTTGATTGGTGCGGGATCCCAGGGGGATTGTGGTCTGCGATGCTCTGCTGACTCCGCCACACCTTGTGCGACACTGAAGATAGGGCTCGCAAAATAGTGCGAAGGCAGGACTTTGACTCGCTGGCGTCGTAAATCCTCATCGCGAGCCTTGCTGGATGCCCTTTCAGTGGTGGGTGGCTGCTGCGTCAGGCCGCAGCAGAAATCTGAAATTGCAACTTTTGAAATCCACCAAACCAAACCTCCTCCTCTCTCTCGCTGTTAGGCTTGGAAGGGACGAGTCACGAGTTGCCAGCAAACAAACCAAACCTACCTAACCTAACCCCACGGTCTCAATTCGTGACTCATGAGCAGCCACCAGAACAGGCGCAGTAGGCCTAACTGCCACCATTCTCGTGATTTCTTTCACCTCTCCTCCAATAGTGCTGCTCGTTCTTTGAACGCATTTCTGAGGAAGTATCTTGGAAAACCTTGCCGTTCCTTGTGGTCCCATGCCTTTTGACCGGCAAGAAATGTACCGGCTCGGCAGCAGCACTGCGCTGACTCTTATCCTTTGACTTGAAGCTTGTGTTTCCTCTCCATTCGCACTTCATTCTCTCTTGGCCCCAGGCAGCCCACCAGCAGGCCAACTGTCTTCCCCTCAGTTCTCCATATCTTGTTCTCACTTGAACCGAGTTACTCGCTTGTCGCTCACGTCTCTTATCAACGCCTAACTGCTCGAACCCTAATTTCGAATTCGCTATCGACGTAAGCAGATTCGGGAAAGCTACCAGTGTGGTTCCAAGAGCCGTAAATCTTCACACCGCTTTGTCAGTCAGTCCAGCCTTGGGACCACTTCTCGTTAGGGTTTCATGGCTATTGAAGTTCCCTCAGTTCCCTCAGTCCCCTCTTTGCTCGTGTCAAACCAGCCCCTCGATCCCTCATTTCCACAACTGGTGCGAGAAAGCCTTCCCGTGTTTGACGGCGTCTGAATGGGCCTCGAATCCCATGTAGAATCTCTCAAGCTGCCTCCCGAGCAGCAGCAGCAGGAGCAGGAGCAGGAGCAGGAGGAGGAGAAGCAGGGGAAACAGGGAGTGGTGCAGCGACAGCAGGTGCTAAGCGGAGTGCTTCCAGGCTTACGCTCAGGCGCATATAGCGCGGATGCACATGCGCTATGTCCCAGGAGCATGGCGAGAGGGGTAGCAGCGACGTTAGTGGAAGGACCAGAGCCTTCAACACCCCCTTATGCGGAGATTCCGGCGCAAGATTGCGCGGGGACGGCGCAGAAGCGCCAGCGCAAGATGACCCCCAAAGGCCTGGAGCTGGAGCGCGCGCTTATGGTGCGGAAGAAAGCGCGCGCCGCCGCTAGGAGCCGCGCAGAGCAACCGGGCGGAAGGATGCCGGAGCGGCAGGAAGCAGCGGGCAAGTGGGCAGGCGGGGCGGAGCGTGGATGCTGGGGAAACGGTGTAGACGGTAGGCGGGCAGGGGACATGAGTTGGAGTGTGGACGCAGATGTTGGGGGCGTGGGGCGCGCAAGAGAGGCGTCAAGGGGAATGACGGGGCAGATGGGAGTGGGGGACTGCGCGCCGAGCAGAGGTAGCGGCCAAGATAGGTATCAAGATTGGGGTTCATGCGGGGAGAACACCGGGAGGGTTTCTGGCGGCAGTTTGCAGCGCGGGGAGGCGGGTGGGGAGGAATGGGGGAGGAGTGGAGGGCGGGGTGGTTGTAAGGATAGCAGACGGGATGGTTCTGCAGGTGGGAGACGGTACAGGGTAGAGGAGGAGGAGGGAGAAGAGGGGGCGGGGGAAATGGAGGGGGAGGAGGAGGAGGAGGAATATTTTTCCTGCGGGCAGAGGAATGGTCGGGAAGAAGAAGGCAAGCGGGGGCAAGAAGAGTGGGGGAGCAGAGGAGAGGGAGGGATTGGGATTGGGGAGGAGAGGAGAGGGAGTAAGGCGATGGGGAACGAGGAGAGGGAGACTGTCGGGGGGAGTATAGAGGTGAGGGCGGCGGATGGGTGGTGTAGGCGGGTCGTGCAGGCGGATGGGGAGCTGGAGAGGGGCAGAAGCGGCCAGGGGGAGGTGGGGCGCGGGAGAAACGGATGCGTGGTGTTGGGGTGTGAGGTGGAGAGGGAGAGGGGTGCATGTGATAGAGGGGAAGAGTTGGAGCGCGCAGTCGATGTTCCCGTTAGTCTTTGTCTCAACGGCCCCTTTCAGCTGCCAGGCTACTCTTCTGGAGCTGCTGGTGGTGGTGATGTTGTGGCTAACCTTGGCCTGGTTCCTGTCGGTTCAGCGGGGTTTGATGCGGTGAAGGAAGTGGTTATTGTAGTGGCCGATGAGGCGACTCGTGGGAGTGAAGGTCGGGGGGAAGGAACGGCAGAAAGTGTTGATGCCGCCGCTGCAGTAGGGGCGGCTCCAGCACAGAAAGGAGCCGGTTCACCAGCAGCAGCACCAGCAGCACCAGCAGCACCAGCAGCACCAGCAGCACCAGCAGCAGCACCAGCAGCACCAGCAGCACCAGCAGCACCAGCAGCAGCACCAGCAGCACCAGCAGCACCAGCAGCACCAGCAGCAGCACCAGCAGCACCAGCAGCACCAGCAGCACCAGCAGCAGCACCAGCAGCACCAGCAGCACCAGCAGCACCAGCAGCAGCACCAGCAGCACCAGCAGCACCAGTAGCACCAGCAGCAGCACCAGCCGCACCAGCAGCACCAGTGGCACCAGCAGCAGCACCAGTAGCTGCAGTGTTGGCAGCAAATTCAGAAACGGAAGTGGAAGGGGCAGCAGAGGTGCGCAAACGGGTGAGAGACGGGGAAGGAGTGCGGAAGGAGGCAGGCGGGCGGGGAGAGCGGGCGGGAGGGGCATGGCCGTGTGAGGCGAGGCGAGGCAGGCTGCCAAGGGGGCATGGCGGCTGGACTGCTGCTGCTGTGCGCTCCATGGGCGTTGGGGCGCATGGGGCGGATGTAGCATATGGGGTGCGTGGGGCACATGGCATGCATGGGACAGAGGAGGCGGGCTGTAGGGTCGGGGTGGGTGGAGAGAGCAGCATGAAGGAGACGCGGTGTAGTGGGGAAACTGGCAGCATTAGTGCGTGCAGGCGTGGCAGTGGCAGTGGCAGTGGCAGTGCCAGTGCCAGTGCTGATGATAGCAGTAGGATACGGGGCGATACTGTCGAGCGTTTTAAGGGCCACGGCGGTGGCAATCCGAGGAGCAGTAGCAGCAGAGGCAGCAGTAGAAGCAGCAGTAGAAGCAGCAGTAGCAGAAGCAGGATAAAGAGCTGTGATAGAACGAGGGGCAGTGCTGATATTGGTGGTGGTGGTGGTGGTTATGGTGGTGGTTGTGGTGTTGAAGTTGCTCCTCACAGAAATTCTGGCCGTCGCCCCAAACACAACAGTTTGCATCCTGCTGCTCGCGGCACCACTTGCAACACTGCTGCAGCTGCTGCCAAATACGAGTTTCCTGATGATGGTGATGATGCTGATAGTGAAGATAGTGATGATGACGAGGATGTGGAGTCTCTCCCTTTCAGCTCCAGAAGTAGCAGTAGTGGTGATGATGATGAAGCATCTGTCTCTAGTGAGGAAACCCCAATGAATCCCAGTCGCAGTGACAGCACTGGCAGCAGCAGGAGCAGGAGCAGTGGTAGGAGCAGCAGCAGCGGCAGCAGCAGCGAAAGCGAGAATATACGCAGGAAGGGTGGTGGCGTCAGTAGGGGATTGGGGAGTAGAGAGGGGGTAAGGTTCTCTCAAGGCGGAAAGAAAGGCGAGAGCAGTAGTAGCAACAGCAGTTGTGGCACCAGAAGCAACACCCACAGCAGCCACAGGCACAGTCGCAGCGGCAGTCGCAGCAGCAACGGTGGCAGCAGCAGTCGTAGCCACAGCCGTTATCAGGAGCAGCAGCAGCAGCAGCAGCAGTGGTGGTGCAGACAGCGATTTGCCACTGGCCAGGCGTAGAGCTGCTGCTGCTGCTGCTGCTCCTACCGCTAGGCAGAGGGAGGTTGGGGGGGGAAGAGATGTGCACGGGACGAGAGGAGAAGGCAAAGAGGCGAGAGGTGGCGAAAGAAGCACATCTGGTGATTCTAAGGGGAGCAGTGGTAGTGGGTCGAGTTCAGAAGGGCGTTTGGGCGGGTGTGGGCGAGATGGTGGGGGTGGGCGAGGGAGCAGGGAGAGAGGAGCGTACGGGAGACGCAGAGGTAGGGGTAGGCGGGGTTTCGGTGGTAGGAGGAAGCTGAGGTGGGAGATTGTCGGTGGTAGGGAGGTGGTGAGAGGAAGGAGACGAGGTTTGGAAGGAGAGGAAGCGGCAACGAGAGTTAGACGGTCTAGGAGGCTTGAGCTAATGCAGACTGAGGAGGAGGAGGAGGAGGAGGAGGAGGGGGAGGAGGAGGAAGAGGACGAAGAGGAGGAGGACGGAGGAGGAGGAAGAGGAGGAGGAAGAGGAGGAAGAGGAGGAAGAGGAAGAGGAGGAAGAGGAGGGAGAAGGTGAGGTGCAACGGAGAGGGTGGATGGGGCAGGTGAGGGGGGTGAGGGAAGTGAGGAGGAGCCGGGAGAAGGCTTGGGAGAAACGATATTGGATGAACCATAGACAGGAGGAGCAGCAAGGGGAAGAGAAACACGAGGAGAAAGAGGAGGAAGAGGAGGAAGAAGGGGATGAAGAGGGGCATTGTGAGAAGGAGGGACACAAGGGACACAAGGGAGCAGGAGGGATGGGTGAGGAGTGGGAGTGGGATGAAGTGTCAGGCGATGGGAAGGAGGTGAAGGAGCAAGGTGGTATGCATGGAGGGAGAAGAGCAGACGGGAAGGGAGATTGCCAGGCGGATGAAAGGAAGGGCGTGGGAGGAGTGTGCGGCAGGCGGAGGAGAGTAACGAGTGGCAGTTGCGGCGGGGAAGTGCGTGCATCTGCTGGGCTAGGGCAAGCGCATGGGCATGGGCATGGGCATGGGCATGGGCGTGGGCATGGGCAAGCGCAAGAGCAGCACATCCCCATGCATATGCACATTCAGGAACCTACGACTTTGCCCGGCAATCACAACAACAACAACAGCAGCAGCAGCAGCAGCAGATGGCATCATCGATCTCCTTAGCCCCACTTCCACTGACACGCCTGTCCTCGCCGTCTCCCGCTCCTGCTCCCGCTCTCACTCTCACTCTCGCTCTCGCTCCCCACCATCACCCTCCCCTCCTCCTCCCTCCTCGCTCTCCAGCCTCCCCACCTGCACGTGCTCTGGCAACGCCACCTGCCCTCACCCATCTTGCCCGTATCCAACCTGCCTGCACCCCTCGTGCCTTGAGTCCCGCATCTTTCCACCCGCAGGCTGCCCGTGGCAGCGCAAGCGGAAACGGTGGCACGTGGAACAGGAATTGGAGCAAGTAGAGTATGCGAACGAGGGGTTAGGCAGCAGGCAGGGATGCATTGGGAAGCAGCAACAGCAGCAGCAGCAGCAGAAGCCCGACGGAAGCCACAAACCCCCCGTCCTTTGCGTTAGGATCCTGGAGAGGGATGGGGGTGGAGAAGTTGGGGGGTAGGGCTGGGGCGAGGAGGCTGCTGGTTCGGCTGGCGGTTGTGGCGTTTGCACCAGCGTGGAGAGCAATGGGGCAGAGGGGTGTTGCGTGTGTGGATCGGTGCCGGCATGGGTGGCTGAGGGAGCGGAGGAGACTTCTGGGCAGGTGGAAGGTGGAGGAGAAACGGAGGGAGGAGAGTGAGGGCGAGGATGATGAGGAGGAGGAGGAAGAGGAGGGATGGGAGGAGGACGAGGAGGAGGTGGATGTGAGAGGAAGCGAGGGAGGCGAGGAAGGGGATGAGGTGGCAGTGGTGATGGGTCAAGCAGGAGGAGAGAGGGAAGCAGGCAGGAAGATGGGGTATGTGAATGGCCATGAGATGGCTGTTTCCATGGCTCATGGCAGCAGCACACCTCCACCACCTCCACCAGCACATGTCAGCATGGCCCACAATCCTGCTGCTGCAACCGCTGACAATCCTCCTCCTCACCAGCTGACAGGGGATGCCAACTGCTCATTCGTTGCCTGTGGAAAACTGCAAGTGCCAGGAGCAGCAGGCACAGCAGCAGCCCCGGCACTGGCGGCAGCAGCAGCATCAGCAGCAGCGGCAGCGGCAGGGGCAGTAGATGCACCCGAGCCTGTGGGGCTGTCAGGGCTGGATGTGATTCTGTCACAGAAGCGCGGATGGGGAGGGGCGCACGCGAGCAGGGACGGACAGGAGGTAGCGGGGAGTGCAGAGGGGTACAGGCAGGTGGAAGCGTGCGGGTTTGGTCAAGGAGGTGGAGGGGATGGAGAGGGGTTGAGGCAGGTGGAAGGGAGTGCAGGGAGAGGTAGAGATGAGTGTACAGAGGTGACAGTTGCTGCCCCTGCTGCAGCAGCTGAGGGTGGTTGTGATGGTAGCTTAGCTCATCCTGGTCTTGCTGGTGGTGGTGGTGGTGGTGCTGCTGCTGCTGCTGCTGCAACAGTACATGGGTGTGCAGAGAGGCAAGCAGCATGCGAAATGGAGGAAAGGCAGAAGGATCAGGAGCAGGAGGAGCAGGTGTGTGGGTTGGAGTCAGAGCAAGTGACTGTGGTGTGCGAGCATACAGCAGTGGAGATTTCAACGCAGGTCACTGCAGTCACTGCTCTCTCCGCCCCCGTTGGGGTCGCCTCCATCCCCACCTTCCATCTCTCCGCCCCTCTGCTCGCCTCTCCTGCTCTTCCCTCTGCTTTCTCCGCCCCTCCATCGGCTGGAAATGCCACTGCAGTCAGCATCACTGCCAGAGACACCCAGCTTTTGCTACC